CACCTTCACCAATAAACTGCCACTTCACCAGTCCCCTGCCCCTTCATCAAACCCCTGTCCCCCTTCACCAGTACCCTGCCCCTTCACCAATCCCCTGCCCCCTTCATCAGTTCTCTGCCCCCTTCATCAATCTCACTGTCCAGCTATTAAATCCCCTGTCCCTTCACCGGTACCTGCCTTCACCAATCTCCTGCCCCCTTCATTAATCCCCTGTCTCCCTTCTTCAATACCCTGATCCCCTTCATCAATACCCTGCCCCTTCATCAATCCCATGTCCACCTTCACCAATAAACTGCCACTTCACCAATTCCCTGCCCCCTTCATCAATCCCCTGTCTCCCTTCATCAATCCCCTGACCCCCTTCATCAATCCCTGTTCACCAGTACCCTACCCCGTCACCAATCCCCTGCTCCCTTCATCAATCCTCTGCCCCCTTCATCAATCCCCTGTCCCCCTTCATCAATCCCCTGTCCCCCTTTGCCAGTACCCTGCCCCTTCACCAATCTCCTTCCCCTTCACCAATCCCCTGCCCCTTCATCAATCCCCTGTCCCCCTTCATCAATCCCCTGTCCCCCTTCACCAGTACCCTGCCTCTTTACCAATCCCCTGTCCCCCTTCATCAATCCCCTGTCCCCCTTCACCAGTACCCTGCCACTTCACCAATCTCCTGCCCCCTTCATCAATCTCCTGTTCCCCTTCATCAGTCCCTGTCCCCTTCATCAGTCCCCTGTCCCCTTCATCAGTCCTGCCCCTTCATCATCAGTCCCCTGCCACTTCACCAGTACCCTGCCACTTCACCAATCTCCTGCCCCCTTAACCAATCCCCTTTATCAATACCCTGACCCCTTTCATCAATACCTTGCCTCTTTCATCAACCCCCTGTCCACCTTCACCAGTACCCTGCCACTTCACCAATCTCCTGACCCCTTCATCAATCCCCAGTCCCCCTTCATCAATCTCCTGCCCCTTCACCAATCCCCTGCCCCCTTCATCAATACCCTGACCCCTTCATCAATACCTTGCCTCTTTCATCAATCCCCTGTCCACCTTCACCAGTACCCTGCCACTTCACCAATCTCCTGACCCCTTCATCAATCCCTGTCCCCCTTCATCAATCCCTGTTCCCCTTCACAAATCCCCTGCCCCCTTCATCAATCCCCTGTCCCCATTCATCAATTCTCTGCCCCCCTTCACCAGTACCCTGCCTCTTTACCAACCCCCCTTAATCAATCTCCTGTCCCCCTTCATCAGTCCCCTGCCCACCTTCACCAGTACCCTGCCACTTCACCAATCTCCTGCCCCTTTCACCAATCCCCTGCCCCCTTCATCAATACCCTGACCCCCATTCATCAATACCTTGCCTCTTTCATCAATCCCCTGTCCACCTTCACCAGTACCCTGCCACTTCACCAATCTCCTGACCCCTTCATCAATCCCTGTTCCCCTTCATCAATCCCCTGTCCCCCTGCATCAATCTTAGTGAGCTACGATGAGGCATCCAGTTGCAGGATAAAGAGTTAGGTATTTTGGATCGTTCCTGTTATCTGCCCTACACTCTTAACCTGGCATCTCAGCAATCATCATAACTCCTCCTCCATCAGGATCCCTGTGTCTAAAAAGGTTGCTCGGCGGGGTCCTGCAAGGTAAGTAATGTTACTGTCACGCTAAGCATATAGTTAGGGGCCTCACTGCAGAATTAGGACATGAGACAAGTTAAGGTGATGGTTAGGAACTATGGAACTTGATGGTTAGGAACTTAGGTGTCACTAATCTGTAAATATAAAAAATTACTCTCTAAATCTAACCCTAATTTTAAACCCTCACTTTAACCCTAAATGTCCCATGTCCCAGTGTTGCAGTGAACCGCCTAAAAATAAGCTGAGTGTGACAGTAACTTTACTTACCTTACAGGACCTCGCCAAGCAGCCATTTTAGACACAGGGATCCTGCGGATGAGGAGTTTACATCCCACTTTTTTTTTTTTTTAAATTCTTTATTTAGGTTGTGACATAGTGCAATAACATAATTGTCATACAATCTTTGAGGCTTACGCAGAAGCCAAAATTGGCATCGTATCACTTGTGTATGTTTCGTACAACAGGTGGATTTTATATGCTGTCACGTTTTATATTTTTGGGGGAACATACAGAACAATAAATCAACATAACAGTACACAAAGGGTGCATAGGACAATTCGCATAGGCCCAGTGGCAAGCGGTGGCCGCGCTCATTTGCAGAGCGGGTAACCATGTGGCAGCTCTAAGGTGCATGCCCTTAGCTACCTTTCTTGAGTCATGGCCGTAGCACGTCACTGGTATTCCTACTTTCAATTGTTTTTTTTAAATAAATTCTTTATTTTCAAAGGAACATGGATAGTGTCACATACAGGTTTTGGACATGGTGGTACACCGATGATGTCAGGTTTCTTAGCGCTGTCGTGTCGTTCAAAATAGTTTTGCTGTTGATAGCTGCTGAACACGTGCAGTTCTTAGTCTTTTCCATGTCCAAACTGGATGATTTTGTACATTGTCCGTTTTTACCGGGTGGGGGTGAACTGGGGTCTAGCTGTACCTGTGGGTTTTTAGCGTTATCTCTTCCTTTTTCTGTTGGGATGGAAGGGAGAGGGAGTACCGTAGGAGAGAAAGGAGGTGAGAAAGGGCCGGGGAGAGGGAAAAAGGGAGAGAGAAGAGAAGAAAAAAAAAGGGGGGGGGGGCTGAGGCTAGTGAGTAATGTGGGTGCGTTCGGTGAGCTGTGCTGCCCGCCTTTTGCGTTTCGTAGGTGGGGGGGAGTGGGTATTCTCACTGTTAGCTCCCTCTCTGCTCGTGTTGGGTTTCAGTTGGTCAGTCGGGGGGGGGGGCCTGGGGTGATGGTCTAGTGTCTACGGGTTTGTCCCATCGTTATGCGGTGAGAGGTCCCGCCTCTGATCCTGTTGTCTGGCCTTGGCGAACCAGTGCCGTGTCTATCGTGATGGTTGGAGCTATGGGGCTGTGCCGTGTTGGGGCCCTATCGGTCTGGTGCTGGGGCTCAGGGCGGGTGATTGTCTTGGGTGGGGATCACCCCTTCGGTCCGTGTCGGCCCGAAGGATGACTATGGTCCGTCCGTCGGGGTCAGGGACTGCTAAGGTGCAGTTCCCGGGGTGCCCCTTCCTCTCCAGGGGCTCCTCCTCCTCTCCTATCGGGGGAATCCTGTGGTAGGGTCATGGGTGTTGTCTCCCCCCCGGCCTCCCGCCCGCGCCCGTCGGGGCCCCCCGTGGGGGAAGTGGATGCGGGGGGTGATGGGTTGGGGGTGTAGGGTGATGCCAGCATCCTGTGTAGGGTCCGGCGTGTGCGGAATGGTTGCGCCGTGGCATTTGCCTGGTAGTAGGGCTGGTGGGGTCGCCTATCCAGTGGGGCCTTTATGTCACTTCAATGTTGCCCAGCGTCGGGTAATTCATGTCCCAGGGGTCCCAGGTTCTATGAAACGCTTTGTAAGCGTCGTGTATCTGCGCGGTTAACTCGTCCAGATCTCGGGTTTCTATGATCTTGTTGATGATGGTTGAGAGTGCAGGAATTCGGTGGTCGGCCCACCGTTCTGCGATCGCTCTCCTGGCCGCCAGCGTTATCCTAGCCGCTAGCTTGTTCTCGCTTCTGGTGAGGGAGTCCAGAGGTTTAATGAGTAGTATCGTCCACGGCTGCGCCGGATAGGGTTTATTGAGGATCTGTTCTATGAGACTACAGATTGCCGACCAGAGCGGTTTAATTTTTGGGCATGTCCACCAGCAGTGTATGTATGAGCCAGTTTCGCCACACAGCTTCCAGCATTGGGTGTCGGGTTTTTGGCCCATTTTGTGGAGTCTGTGTGGTGTCAAGTACCACCGGAACAGCGTTTTGTATGCCTGTTCCTTGTGGGTGACGCATACTGTCAAGGAGTTTGTTGCCTCCCAAATTTCCGCCCAGTCACTCGATTCCTCCGGCGGGCCTAGGTCCCGTTCCCATGCGGCGATGTAGGTGAGGTTAATGTGTGAGGTATGCGTTGTCAGGGTTGAGTACAGGCTGGAGATTTGTCCTGGGTGTAAGGGCGCGTCAAAGCACCTTTTCTCAAATGGTGTCGGGGGTGAGGTCCCCGCTTGTTTAATCATTGGCTGTCTGGCTAGATCTCTCAGCTGGATGTATCGAAAGTGGTCTGCAGTTGTAAGTGTTTCGCTGTCCGGTAAGTCTTTGTAGTCTATGATTTCTCCTTGGTGATATAGGTGAAGGAGTCTGGAAATGTCCCTTTGGTCAAATGCGCGGAAATGTTTTGCCACCATCCCTGGTGGGAATAGTTTGTTGCGGTAAATAGGTGTTACCGGGGAGATGAAGGAGGACAGTTCGTACTTGGGGTTCAATTTGTCCCACAGCTCTAGCGTGTGAGTAATTGCCGGGGAGGTGGGTGGTGGGAGTGGCCGATGTACGGGGGGTACCCACATATATGATGATGGTAGGTCCCAACCCATGACGTCGTGCTCCAGATCCACCCATCTTTTGGTGCTCGGGGGAGCGTGCCAGTGTTGAACATGGGCCAATTGTGCCGCATTGTAGTATTGTTGGAAGTTGGGTAGTCCGAGGCCCCCGCTGGTTTTGGGGACGTACATGGTTGATCTGCGAATGCGTGGTCGTTTGCCCCTCCATATAAATTTGTCGATGGCGGTCTGAAGGTCTTTAAAGTCTTTCTTCTGTATGGGGATGGGTAGTGTTTGGAAGAGATACAGGAAGCGTGGTAATAAATTCATTTTGATGGTTGTGACTCTGCCTAGCCAAGAGATCCCCATCTTGTCCCAGCGTTGGAGGTCCTGGTGGGCTGTTTTTAAAAGTGGTCTGTAGTTGAGGTCGTAGGTGTCTTCTAAGTTGGGAGACAGTCGGGTGCCCAGGTATGTGAGGTGAGACGTGGAGATTTGGAAGGGGAACGAGTTTCGTAGGAGCTGGATTTGTCGTGGGCCCATCGCTATGGGTATGAGGACGGATTTCGTCTGATTGATTTTATACCCGGAGAAGCTAGAGTATTCGGCTATCACTTCTAGCGTGGCATGTAGGGATGGTATCGGGTCCGCAAGGGTTAAAAGGACATCGTCCGCGTACGCCGCCACCGCGTATTTCTCTTGTCTGATTTGGATGCCTTGGATGTCCGGATGGTTGCGTATGGCCTGTAGGAGTGGCTCTAGTGAATAGCGAAGATTAAGGGTGAGAGGGGGCAGCCCTGTCTGGTCCCGTTCTTTATGGTGAAGGTTTGGGCCTCAATGTTGGGTAGGAGAAGTTTCCCTTTGGGGTGACTGTATATTGCCTCCAGGGCGTTCATGAAACCGGACGGGAAGTTTAGATGTGTAAGTATTTGGAACATGTATGGCCAGAGAAGGCGATCAAACGCCTTCTCTGCGTCCAGCGAGAGCATTACCGCCGGGATGTTCCGATTTTGGGTGTACCAAATTGTGTTGAAGGCTCTTCTGGTGTTATCCGAAGCCTGCCGTTTTGGAATGAAGCCAACCTGGTCGGGGTGTATCAGCTGGGGGAGGCAAGTGTTGAGACGTATGGCCAACGCCTTTGTAAGAATTTTCAGGTCTATGTTCAACAATGATATGGGCCGGTAGTGGCCTGGTTCTAGCTGGTCTTTGCCTGGTTTAGGCAGGAGGCAGATGTCAGCGGTGAGCATGTCCGGGGGGAGGCGTTGACCCTGAAGTATGGAGTTGAAAGTCCTGCTCAGGTGTGGGATGAGTGTGGCCTGGAATGTTTTATAGTAAAGTGCGGTAAAGCCGTCCGGGCCTGGGCTTTTCATTGGTTTCATCGTTTTGAGGACCTGGGCAAGTTCTTCTCCCTCCATGGGTGCTTCCAGCAGTGCCTGTGCCTGGGTGGATAGGGTGGGCAGGTTGAGCGGTCGCAGGAAAGATGAGATTCTTTCTCTTTGGGACTCGTCCCCTGTTGGACCAGGGGGATCGGCATGGTCGTATAGTTTTGTGTAATATTGTAGGAATTCTTGTGCTATCCTGTCTGGGTTTTTCGTGATCTCTCCAGTGCTGGTTCTGATTTTGGAGATTCTTTTGTTGTCCTGCCGTTTTTTGAGGCAGTTTGCCAGGAGGGCGTCTGCTTTGTTTCCTTTTTCATAGAAGCGCTGCTTGGTCCACATGAGGTTTCGTGCCACGTCTACTGAGGACAGCCGCCGGAGGTGCTCTCGTAACTCTGTGAGCTCCTTTAGCACAGTGTCGGAGGGGTGTCGTTTGTGCAGTGTCTCAAGCTTAGTTAGTTTGGCCAGTGCTTCTGTGAGGTCCCGGAGGCGTCGTCTTTTGTGGGCTGTGGCAATTGCTATCAAGTGGCCTCGGATTGTCGCTTTATGCGCTGCCCAAACTGTCGTCGGGGCCATGTCCTCTGTGGCGTTTAACTCGAAGTAGGTTTGGAGATGACCAGTGATGGTCTGTACTGTTTCTTTGTCCCGGAGAATCCACGGATTGAGTCGCCATCGCCATGGGCGAGATAGTCGTGGGATTTGAAGGTCCAGTGTGATCTCCGCATGGTCCGACCATGTTATGTTGCCAATTTGTGAGTGAGTGGTCCAAGGCTGGGTCGTTTGTGTTACCAGAAAACAATCTATCCGCGAGTATGACCGATGTGTATGGGAGTAGAAGGTGAAGTCCCTGTCCGCTGGATGGTGGGCCCTCCAGATGTCCAGTAGCATGGTCTCGTTGAGGAAGCTGGCATATAGTTTATCGTTCCTCGTTGGGGCCGGCGTTATATCCTTTTGCGTTCGTCGGTCTATGGCGGGTGCGTGTGTCGCGTTCATGTCCCCGCCCACGATTAGGTATTTGGCTGTGATGCTGCCGAGATGGGCCTTAAAGGTGCTCCAGAAGGTGGGGTCTGGTGTGGCCGGTGCATAGAGGCTACATACCGCGAACGAGGCCATGCCTATGTTTCCCGTGAGGAACAGGTATCTCCCGTTGGGGTCTGTTAGCGTGTGAATGTCTTCTAGAGGGCAGGAGTTACGTAACAGGATTGCCACCCCTTTTTTCTTCGGGTCCGGTGAGTTAGCTAAGAAGTATCTTTTGAAGCGTCTATTGGTTAGGGGGAAGCATTTCTGGTCCGTGAAGTGGGTTTCCTGGAGTAGGATTATGTCTGCGCCTGTGCGATTAGCCCATCTTAACATCCCGTGTCTCTTGCCTGGGGAGTGCAGCCCCTTCACGTTGAGGGACGTGAGGCGAATCTTCGTGGAAGGTGGTGCCATTGTGGTGTTGGGGGGTCGGCGTGTGGGGGTGGGTGGTTTGGCAGTGAGGGAGGGCAGAGGGTTGGGGGACCCCGAGCGCGCGGGCGTGGCGGGCCGGGGACTGTCGCTGTGAGTGGGGTGGGGATTGACTGGGCTTATCAATCTGGCCAGTCGTCTGGTTGGCGGGAGGGCACGGTCTCCAATCCGCGCAATGGGACTGGAAGGTGCAAGTCCTGTGGGAGGGTTTTTGGCAAGTCGTGGCAGCGCCTGCCATCGGCCTGCCTGGTTTGGAGCTGTGTTGGCTGAGCTCTGAATGAGGGCTGGGTGGGGGGGTGTGGGAGGTGCGTGGGTCCATGGCGACCGTGGCTGCCCTGTATGGTAGGGTGTGAGGCCCCTTGCCGGTTGGGGAGGGAGAAAAAGGAGAAGAAAAAAAAAAAAAAAATTCCCCATACCGTGGTGGGTAGCCCAGCCTTGCGACCTGCACTGCTGTATCTGTCATCCTTTCCCCCGTAAGTGGCAGTGTGGTGAGTCTTTGCCCGTGGCGGGGTATTATGAGGGGCAGCCCGGTGCCTGGTATCTTCCTGCATTTAGAGCTTTGTGGGGCGGGGGGAGCATGGGCGGGGGGGAGGAAGGAAGGACCTCCGGCTAAGATCGACGACCCACAACCCTTCTCTTACTATTGGAAGGTGTTGTCGCCTCGTGTGGTGGCGCTGAGTCTAGAGGTCGGGTGGTGGTAACTCTTCAACATAGCTTGTGTAACATAGTTATAACATCATCGATCCAGCATCAATACATATCAATTCGTAACTTTGGTAATGTAAACAGAGAGCTTAGTTATCCTAGTATTGGGTTTTGTAACAAACATGGGCAACCATCCTTTCACCTGGTGTGTTGTGTGGTGTCCTGCGTGTGCTGCGTGGTGTTGGGTATTACTGCTGTGCATGGAGCGTGGTGTCCATCTGGCTTCGCATTGCTTGGGTCTGTGCGTCTTTAGTTGTCGGTGGTCTGCTGCTGTTCGGGTTGTGGCTGTGTGGTTCCCTGTTTTCCCCCCCCCCTTGCAACCTTCTTGGTGTCTAGGCTAAGGTTGCCTATCAGCTTACTTGTGTGTTAGGCTTGACGATCGTGTCTAGGGTGGTGCGTCAGCTGTGCCCCCTCGGTTGATATGTCGCCCACCCGTGTCATTCCTGTGGTCATTTGGTGGCGGCCTATGCCCCTTCTTGCAGGTGGCCGTATTTGGGGAGGGTCTGGGCTCTACGAGTGTGTGACATCTGTTATGTTACCACCTGGGTCCAGCATTGTCCTATCGTGGCCTCTCTGGTAGGGGGACAGGGGGCCCACGAGGTGTTCTGGTTGGGCCTGAGTCGTGGCTGTGGGGTCCACTAGTGGCTGGTGGACGTCGTGGCGCCCCTGACTTGGGTGCTCCTGGTACCTTAACGAGTGTCTCCGCCTGGCGGGTGTGGGGTGGGGGTGTAGTGGGCATTGAGGTGGCCGACCCGCTGGTCCCTAGGAGATGCTGTCCGGGTGGGTCCTAGCGTGTGTCTCCGGCTGTCCTGGGGGCGGGGAGGCCGGGTCCGTCCCTTACCGGTGGCGTTTCAGGTCCTTCTAGTGGCTCTGATCTGTGGTCCCCCTGAGTGTATGTGTGTGGGTTCCGCGTGTGGGGCTGGGTGGGTGCGTGTCCGATCAGCTTGTGTCTGGGCTGGGCCCCCCGCCATGAGTTCTGTGGGCTGCGTAGCGTAGTAGGGCAAGGGGGCCTAAGCTCCCCGGTCCCAAGAGTAGTGGGTTGTAGAGGCTCGTCCGGGCATGCCTGTCTAGTTGGGATCCCGGGGGAGGGTCTGTCCGTCCCGGGGGCCAATGGGCTCCCAGCAGGGGGATCCCTCAGTTTCCCTGTGGCTCATCTTAGGGTCCCATGGTGCCCAGGGCCTGGCCACGCTCTGGTGCTGTGGCTTCGGCCTTCCAACCCAGAGTGCGGGTCCGTCTAGCGCGGCTGGTGGCGTATAGAGGCGCCTATCTGTGCGTGTATACGGGGGGGCTGGGTTCCCCAGGTTCCGAGTCCCGTCTATTGTGTTTTGTGGTGGTGGACCTGGTGTGTGAGTCCATGTCTCTTAGTGTATGTATGGTCCAGTCCGACGGGTGTGTCCTGTCCCCTGTATGCTCGTCTACCCCCCCCTCCCCCCTGTCCCCCCCTTCCCCCCATCCTCCCGCACCCCCGGACCCCCTGTCTCCCCCATCCCTCCCTCCCCGTGTCCCTCCCTGTCCTCCCCCATGTCCCCCCCCCTGTCCCCCCCTCAGAGAGTTAGTTTGCTGCTGGTGGCTTCTAGCACTCAAGTGTGTCTGCCCTGTAATACTTGCGGCCCAGAGTCCAGTGTCCATCCATAAATGATCTGTCCATCATGATGCCTGATTGTTTTTAGCCGGTGGGGCTCCAGGGGGCTGGAAGTGCGCATAGTGGGTGCAGTCTCTGTCGTTGTGGCGGTGCCTGTGTCCGTAGGGTGATCACTGCCGGTGGCTCTCTTGTGCAGATAAGCGCGTAGTGCGGGGTCGTTCTGTGGCCTAGATGGGTGTATGGTGCATGTCCTGGTGTCCGGTTGGTGCTCCTGCTGTGCCGGCGGCTTGGGTCCTAGTTGCGTGCGGCATCGGGCCTCCGCAGCTCTGCATGACTCTGCAGACCGTCCCTGCAGCTATGCGGTAAGTTGCGGCTGGTTGCTGGTGCTGGTGCTGGTGCTGGGAGGGCTGAGGCCGGGTGGAGAGGTTCTGGGAGTTGTGGCAGACCCAAGAGATCCAGGAAGGCTGGGACTTCCTCGGCGCGTGAGATGGCGTGGAACCTTCCCTCCCTGCGGACAATAAGCTTGAATGGGTGGCCCCAAGCATACCTGAGGCCTTGCTGGGTGAGGTGGTGCGTGAGGGGGCGCAGGTCCCGTCGTCTTTTCAGGGTGGTCGGCGCCAGGTCCTGATATAGCTGGACCTGGACGCCTTCCACCTCTATGGGGGTCTCTCTGGCAGCTCTCATGATGCGCTCTTTTACGTGGAAGAAATGTAGCCGCACGATCACATCTCTTGGGGTGGTTGCGTTGTTGCTAGGGGCCCTCAGCGCCCTGTGTGCGCGATCCATTAGCAGGTCCGCATTGGAGGCTTCAGGCAGGAGGTTCCGGAATGCTTCGGTGAGGGTGTCAGTCAGGAGCTCGGTGGAAACAGTCTCCGGTATGCCTCTCACCCTTATGTTATTTCTTCTGCTTCTATTGTTGAGGTCTTCGTTAGATTCTTCCAGGGAACGCAGCTGTTCACGGAGTGCCTGCAGCTCCCCGCCATGCGCCTGCACAGTCTCCATAGCCTCCGCCATTTTGGTTTCCGTGGCTTGTGTGCGGGCTGACAGGTCCGCCATTCCCTCCATGATCGGGCCCAGCTTCTTGTCCAGCTCCTCCGCGACCGATTTCCGGATGTCAGCGAGGAACCCCTTCATGTCCCGCCGGGTTAGTGGAGCCTCTGCCCGGTCCGAGGCTGCCTGGCTGCTCATTTCTGAGTCGGAGTCTGATGGGGAGTGCTCTAAAGGTGGCGCCTGGGCCTTCTCGGCCTTTTGCCGGAAGATCGGTGCGACCGCGGCGTTGCGTGATTTTCTGCTGCCTCCCATTTGGGGGTGAGGGGATGTGGTAAGGTGGGCAACAGGGGACGTTAGGGGGGGTGTGGGGGCTCAGGTGCGCTCGATGGCTTTAGATTAAGGCGAGGCCTCGGCGGAGCTCGGGGATTATGCCGCCATTTTCTTGCTCGGCCAGGCTCCGCCCTACATCCCACTTTTAAACAAATTTTATAATATAATTCAATGCAGTTCTATGAGTAACTTGTCCTAAAAATCTATGTTTTGTTGTTTTAGAAATCCATACATTTTCTTTTGTGCATTTATTAAAAACTATAATGATGATATTCACTAAACAGTAAAGATGGAACAAAATGTTAGAGGTAAATTTTCAACTAACCACCCCTCACTGTTTACTGAATTCTTTGTACTTTAAGGTAGTTTTATAGGCAGTGATATGCATGTCTGCAAACCATTAAATGATTATTGCTATCAGTAAGAAAGGAGACCACTGGAAGGAATAGCATTAAATTGCACATACATTGTTACAGTATTTCCCAACATCCCTGTCCCTGGGGAAAACACCTGCACAGTTTGAAAAGCATTCCTGGATTATCACAGGTACATTAATCAAAATGACTGAATAACTTGTTTAGATGCAGGGAAGCACTTGTAACCAGCTCTCTTCTGTATCCTGAGGACCTGGGGTTAGGAGACATGAATTAGCTTATTGCTGGATACATCAACAAATAATCTTATTGAGCATTTTAAAAATTGTCACCATCTGTCAACTGCTTAAAGCATCACATTAAGGCACCGTGTGCATTAAGATTTTTCTCTGACCCATATTTGTGACCTTTTTAATATACTCTGCTTTGTCCTTTGTTGTCTTATTATACATGAATGTATATTGCATTCCACTTTTCTAAACACAGACTGATAATTCAATACTACTACAAGTCCAGATTAACCATACTGTATCCCCCTCATTGCTTAGAAACCAATATCACATACTGACAGCACTTACTTACATGGAGGTAAGTGATAGAAATCACATTTTATTACAATTCCACAGAGGGAGCAAAGCAGGTGAATATTTTAACAATACATTCAGCTTAGTAGATCATGTTTTCATTGCTTAAAAAATGTCATTCAAACACAGTTCTATTTAATGAATTCCTCACATGAATGAATCAACATTTCACATTGTATTCAGTGAGATTTGAATGCATGTGTATATTGATACATATTTATACATGTTCCCTTATATAGGTGCACAATTGTGGGTCTTTGCAAGCCTTTCTTTACTCTGATTTTGATTTTTCCTCTTCATACAAAAGGTGACCTACCATTACTTTAACGCCTTAAGGACCGAGGACGGTTCAGGACCGTCATCGGCATTTTTGCGTTGCCGACCGATGACGGTCCTGAACCGTCCTAACGGTCAGAGCTACTTACCTGATCGCCGTCGTTCCCCCGGCGGCGATCAGCGTGGCTCCGGTTGTGGGGAGACTGCCTGCAGCCCAGACAGTCTCCCTACTGCAGATTAGGACCCCTGTGGCCATGTGATCGCTTAACACAGCGATCACATGGTCACAATAGGTGTCCTAGTGTCTGCCTGCAGGGGGACTGTCTGTGCTGACAGGCAGTCTCCCTGCTAGTGTAAAATCAGTAAAAAAAATAAAGTTAATGTTAATAAAAAAAATAATAATAATTATATATGTGTATATATGATATATAGACATATATTATATCTATATAATATATGTCTATATATCATATATATAATGCCATACTAAGTGTATTTTTATATTAATATGTACTTATATTAATATAAAAATACACTTATAATTAAATTACACACGTATATATATAATATATATAATAACTATATATATTGTATATATATATTATTATAAAATATAAATAATAAGTAATTTAAATTAAATAAAATTTTTTTTAAATAATAATAAAAATGTAAAAAAAATTATATATCTATATGAAATTTTATTCTAACTGTATTTTAAAATTAATATATATATATTTATATCAAAATACACTTAGAATGAATTTGTATATATATTTATGTATATAAAAATAAATAAAAATAATAAGAAATATACATACGTCCATATACAAAATTACATAAATAATTATATAAATATACACGTAGACTTCAAATATATAAATATGCATATATATTTAAATTCTACGTGCGTATTTATGTAATATTTTTACATAATTCAGTAATTTTATTGATTGCAATTTGAGGGACCTGCCTGCCAACCCAGGCCGAAATTCCAGAGAATTTAATTTGCTAGCACTGTATTTTACCCTGTAACGTTCTACGACACCCTAAAACCTGTACATGGGGGGTACTGTTTTACTCGGGAGACTTCGCTGAACACAAATATTAGTGATTCAAAACAGTAAAACATATCACAGTGATGATATTGTCAGCGAAAGTTACTTTTTTTGCATTTTTCACACACAAACAGCACTTTTACTGATGATATAATTGTTGTGATACGTTTTCCAGTTTTTAAACACTAATATTTGTGTTCAGCGATGTCTCCCGAGTAAAACAGTACCCCCCATGTACAGGTTTTATAGCATTTTTGAAAGTTACAAGGTCAAATATATGGGTCAAATATTTTTACATTGAAAATGGCCAGGTTGGTTACGTTGCCTTTGAGAGCGTATGGTAGCCCAGGAATGAGAATTACCCCCATGATGGCATACCATTTGCAAAAGAAGACAACCCAAGGTATTGCAAATGGGGTATGTCCAGTCTTTTTTAGTAACCACTTGGTCACAAACACTGGCCAAAATTAGCGTTCAATTTAGTTTTTTTACTTTTTTCACACACAAACAAATATGAATGCTTACTTTGGCCAGTGTTTTCGACTAAGTGGCTACTAAAAAAGACTGGACATACCCCATATTGAATACCCTGGGTTGTCTACTTTAAAAAAAATATGTACATGTGGGGTGTTATTCAGAGATTTATGACAGATAATAGTGTTACAATGTCACTATTGATAAATTTTAAAATGTATGTTTTGAAACCGCAATATCCTACTTGTACCTATAGCCCTATAACATGCAAAAAAAAGCAAAAAAGCACGTAAACACTAGGTATTTTTAAACTCAGGACAAAATTTTGAATCTATTTAGCAGTTTTTTTCATTCGCTTTTGTAGATGAGTAAAAGATTTTTCAAGTAAAAGTCAAAAAACATGTATTTTTTTCAATTTTTCATCAGATTTTTTTATTTTTTTTAAATTAAAATACATGAGATTATATAAATAATGGTATGTAAAGAAAGCCCCTTTTGTCCTGAAAAAAACAATATATAATTTGTATGGGAACAGTAAATGAGAAAGCGGAAAATTACAGCCAAACACAAACACCACAAAAGTGTAAAAATATGCCTGGTCGCAAATGTACAACATCGCAAAAACAGTCCAGTCCTTAAGGGGTTAAATATTTTAAAGGATCACTATGGGGTCAGGAACATAAACATGTATTCCTGACCCTCTTGGGTTAAAACCACCATGCCCCCTCCTCCCCCTGCCTTGCTAAATATAGTAAAATCTTACTTGAATTCAAGTCTGCAGCTGCATACTTTGTCACTGTTTCCTTTAGAACTGCCCACTGCCTGCTGACATCAGCAGAAGTGGTGGCCTGATCCAATCACAATGCCTCCCCATAGGATTGGCTGAGACTGACAAAGAGGCAGATCAGGGACAGAGCCATAACAATTCAAACACAGCCCTGGCCAATCAGCATCTCCTCATAGAGATGAATGGAATCAATGAATCTCTATGAGGAAAGTTCAGTGTCTGCATGCAGAGGGTGGAGACACTGAATGTTTGGATGCATTTTAGGCAGCCATGACCCAGGAAGGATCTCTTACAGCCATCTGAGGAGTGGCCAGTGAAGTTATCACTAGGCTGTAATGTAAACACTGCATTTTCTCTGAAAAGACAGTGTTTACAGCAAAAAACCTGAAGGTAATGACGCTACTCACCAGAACAAATTCAATAGCCTGTAGTTGTTCAGGTGACTAAAGTGTCCCTTTAAGTGTCACTTATATTGATAATGTATTTGCAGAGGAATACTGTAATTAGGACAGTAGGGGAACATTCTGGTGTAGTATTCTCTGTACAAATAAAGCTGTTCCTAGGAAGTCCTTCAATATGGTCTTGGAAACAAACAGATGCCAAAAGCTCATTATCTATTATTTTAATGTAATAGTTGCTTGATCATTTGGTAACTAGATGTTATTGTCTGTATTGTTTCCTGCAATATTATAAAGTTATGTTGGTTAACCTGATCCTGATGCAAAATTGTTGACTGAGTCACCAAGTCACTCCTACGCTCACTTACTACCACCAATTTCCACACCATTCCATGTCAACTCGCCTCCACCAATCCACTAAGCAATCTTTAACCAATGCAAAGGTTGAGGCTGAGTGAATGAACAATTAATTAGTACCATGTCAAGCTGCTCTGCTCTTCATAGCATATTGGGTATGATTAGGTCATGTTTCTAGAAAACTCATTGTGTGAATGAAATAAAGTGTATATTTCTTTTTTGTTGTTGTTTTCTTTTGTGTTAGAGTTAAATCTATTCAGTATAGTCGTTTTGAATAATGTAATCAGCTGTTTACTTATGAGAGTGATTCCATGACCTCATGACCCAGCAGTAGGGATGTCGCGAACCGTCCGTGAACTTGCCTCGAATGGTTCGCCGCGGGTTCGCGGCGAACTCCGGTCAGCTGACACATCCCTGCCAAACTCCGGCAGACCCTCCCTCCCAGACCCTCCTACTTCCTGGACAGCATCCATGTTGAAGGCAGCTTCAACATGGATGCTGTCCAGGAGGTGGGAGGATCTGGGAGGGAGGGTCTGCCGGAGATTGGCAGGGATGTGTCAGCTGATTGGAGTTCACCGCGAACGGTTCGTGGCGAACCGTTCGTGGCAAGTTCGCGGACGGTTCGCGACATCACTACCCAGCAGTAGTCCATGGTTTCTCAGTGTCTCCATTGGAAT